GTCTATTTACTTGTGACCACTCAGTGTACAGACTGTTCAAAATATTCTTTAAATGGTTAAATACGTGATATAACAAATAATTATTCTAGAAAAGAGACCTAAGAGCTTCTCTTACGAGTGTGTACAATAATATTAAATATATATGAAACAAATTTTCAACGAGATTTATTCAATGCGTGTCTTTTGTATATTGCTTCTTTTGCTTTGTGCAAAAGTTGTGTAAATATGAATTTATTCTATCGTCTTACTTTATTCACTGATTGGCAGGGAACAATTCTGTTATTGTTCACGTGGCCTTGACTTGTAAGTTATAAGCCAATTATTAGACTTTATGAAAGATTTAGTAAAAAGGCAAAATTTAGCTGTACTTGTACAGCATAGAACAATTTTTGATAAATGTGCAATAGAATAGTATATCCTAATGAACCTTAAGTTTGTAAATAAAATTTGTATATTTAGTGGATTGGTGCTGGTCTACACAACAATGAAAAAACTAAATGGTAAAAATGGACGTTTGAATCTCGTGAGATACGTGATACACCGTTACTTGAGGTAGGTTTGAGGATGATTCTAATTTGAAGTGTTTGTAGTAGATTTTAAAGGAACTGTTCTGAAACTAGATCTTTTTGACAAACAAAACTTATATAAAGCTTAAAATATCATGAGTTATTTACTAAACCCAGATTCTATTTCAGAGATAATAAAATAACTAAAACAAATTTTCGAGTTTGTAACGTTTAAAATACCCACTGAAGATTCCAAAATTGAAGAAACATTTGGATCTTACATTCTGAATTATGCATCATAGGTTAAATAAAATTTAAAAAACAAGTGTTTTGGTTATTCCAGAAGTTCTCTTTATCTTGCTATGGGAAATACCGGTTTTTCGTTCCTTTTTTAAAATATATATTCAAGGTTGACGCTTCCTATGATGTTAGTCATATCTCTGATGTTTATTCTTCCGTTGATTTCTTCTGGACCACTTTGGAACAATGCAGTAGAAAGTCAAATACAAAGATGCAGGAACACTTGGTGGGCAAATATGTTTTACTTCAGTAACTTCCTGAATCCAAGAAACGCAGTAAGTGTTCCTACCTAGATCTTAATTGTATTTTACCTATTCAGTTAGGCCTCTTGTTTAACAAGAACAAATAAATAAAATCAATAATACGCTTATGAGATATTTTGCGTACTCAGTTGAGCCTCTTGTTTAACAACAACAGATAAATAAAATCGTCAATACGATTGAGTTATATTTTACGTACTCAGCTGAGTCTTTTGTTTAACAACAACAAAAATAAAATCATCAATACGATTGAGTTATTTTTTATGTACTCAGTAAAGCCTTTTGTTTAACAACAATAATAAATAAAAATAATGACTAATACATTTCATTGTCAAGCAACAAGCATGTATGGAGTAAAACATGTTATGAGACGTTTATTTTCTCTTTCAGCTTCAATACGAGCTTGTTCCTTTTCTTTCTCGGCTTCAATACGAGCTTCTTCAAGCTCGATTTGTTTGAGTTTTAGGTGAATCTCTAATTTATCCTTATCATTCAACCCAGATTGGCTAGTATGAACACTAGAGTATTCCTCTAATGCTTTCTCAGGCAACAAATCATCATTAACTAATATTTCGATAATACGCTTTTTTAGTTCATTTTTTCTCATTGATCTTTTAATTTCTAGTTCTAAAACTTTGGCAATTTCGAGCAATTCATTTTTGTTATAGTTTTCTAGTTGTTCTAGAGAGGGTGATACAAGAAAATCTTGATAATTCGACATGATCAAATCTTGTTGGCACTGATAAATATAAATTCAATTGTGATTTAAATTATAATTTAGATCGGATTTAGTCTCTGATTCGGATGTACATGAACCATCTTTTAAGTGTACTTTAATTGATAAATAACTCTCCAGTTTAATATTTTGATTGCTACTAGAGAAGTATGAAGAGGTACTTTAATTTATAAATAATTTTCTATTCTAGTGTGCTGTACTTTACTAGAGCTACAAACCAACAGGAAAGTGTAACTTTAATTAATAAACAATTATTTGTTTTAGTGTCTTTCACCCTACTGGTATCTGTCAGCAGACATGCAGCTCTACCTCATCTCGCCGGTTGTACTTATTACACTCTACAAGTAGGTATTTTATGCTATGTAAGCACTTACTTTAATTTTACTGAATGACAACCTTTGCCAAGTTAAAGGTCGGTTTTAGTGTGTTTGTAAGAAATAAAAAGTATTCATTCAGTTAGTTATACAACTGTTGGTTATTACATTTATGGACAAACAATGATAATCTAGTTATTTAAAAATATCATAAATGTCAAGTGATTTAGATTGAACCTGATTGTATCCTTATTCAAAAGGAATGCCCCCCCCCAATGAATAAAGTTAATTTAGTTTCTTCGTGTTTTATAAAAAGTTGGAGAAAGTGTTATCTTTCCTCATGGTTGGCAATAACCGAAATATAATTTTTTGTGGCTCTTAATAATGTATTTGTTTGTAGAACTGAAATGGAATGATTGTATGAGAAGCTAAGAATACATGTACTCAGATTTTGTGTGGATCCATTCAGTGAGAGAAGAGAGCTTTTTGCAATGGATGGTTTACAGTTGAATAGAGTAGGGGCTGGCTTGTTTGCTAAGGCTATTAACTCAGCTGTAAGGGAAGTTTTAAACTAGGACTAGACAGTGGTGAGGAAAAACTGAATGCAAAAAGAATAAGAGGCAGAAAAGTTTAGCATAGGAAATGAGTATAGAAGTAGTTATAAGAATAGGCTGAATTTTTACTATTGTAATGCTAGAAGTGTAAGAAATAAAATAGATGACTATAAAGCACTGGTAGGAATAGAGGATTTTGATATAATGGGAATAACTGAAACATGGTAAAACAGATTATTTTGATGACAGAAATCTTTTTGAAATACAGGGTTACAGGCTATTTAATAGGGATAGAGTACTAAAGAGGGGAGGAGGAGTGGATTTATATGTAAAATGTGAATTACATCCTGCTGAAGTTGAGAATATGAAAGATAATAGCAAAGAGATTGAATCCATTTGGGTTTCTATTAGTGGATATAAAGGGAAAAGGCTTTTAGTGGGAATTTACTACAGACCACCAAATGATACTGATGAAATTAGTGAGAAACTTTACAATGAGATTAAGATTTCAGCTGTTAAGGAAGTCATAGTTATGGGTGATTTTAATTTCAGTCATACAGATTGGTAAATTCTAGAATCAAACCATGAGGGAGAAAGCCATCCTGAATAGTTTTCAAAAACCTTTCTTCACCAGTTAGTCATGGAACCAACTAGAAACAATGCTATTTTAGACTTATTGTTAACTTCAAATACAAAAATGATTGAGAGAGTTGAAAATGGGAAAATATGGGTGCAAGTGATCATTGCTCTATTAGTTTCATTTTTTTGCTCCATATGGAGATAAGGAAAAATTATATTTTGGTTACAAATTTTAAAAAAAAGCAGATTTTGAAGGGATGTGATAAGTGTTCTGTTGTGAATGGGGCAGCTGAATTATTTGGAGACACTGATCAGATGTTGAAAATATTTTAAAGATATATTTCTAAATATTCAATTTAAACATATTCCTAACAGAAATAAAAGGGTAGCTGCAAGTGAAAACTAGGTTAGCTCACAAAGAGTTTAAGAAATAAAATTAAAGAAAAGCATCATAAATTTAAGAAATGTAAATTGACTGGTATGACAAGATAGTTGGAAAATCAAGAAAGTTGTTGAAACAGGAAATTAGGACATCAAAAAGGGTGTACGAGGAAAAGTTGGCTGAAAATGTAAAAATTAACATTAAGGATTTCTTTAAATACATTAAGGTTAAATGTTAAGATAGGGATAGGACCATTGAGGGATGATAAAGGAAGGCTAGTATCTGATGATTACGAGGTGGCTGGGTTATTAAATTTTGCTTTTTCTTCGATTTTTACAAATGAAGATGTAAGCAATATTCCAAATCTTGATCAGTTGATAAATGGAAACGAAATCAAACAAGATGACTGAATTAATTCTGAGCTGGTTAAGGAAAAATTGAGAAGTTTAAAAAATGATAAGACTTCTGAGCCAGATAATATTTCCCCAAGGATTTTGAAGGAGGTTAAAGATTGGATATGTGAGCCGAGCCACTTGCTACTAGTTTTGGGGATGGAAGAGCCGAGATGGACTAATAGGTCCCATGTTGTCCCAACATATTATATTCTATTGCAAACATGGTAGATAAGAGAATGAAATACTTGATGCTAAAACGTAGAGTTCTAATATTTATATACAGTTTTCAAATCTGTTTGTTCAACACTTATAAAACTTTCAACCAAATTATGTAACCTAACGATACCTGTACCACACAATACGACATATAAAGGAATTGAGCTAGTGGTGTTAGTCTGGAACACAGCATTTTAAAGACTGCAGCACAATGTTGTGGATCTCACGTGTAGCACATAAACTAAAGGATATGAAATATTTGATTTCATAACCAAAACAATACTCTAAAGAATTCAAAATGCTGGATTTTATGTGGACATCAATAACCAAAAGAATATAAAATATTAGAATTTATGAATAAAAGATTAACGTAAAGAATCTCATGAGTAAAAATAAATGGTCTAAAGGATTTAGAATTTAATTAGTAACAGAATACTCTCAAGAATTTCAAATGCTGGATTTTTATTATTTTAATCGCTACTCAAGATAACATCTAATTTTATTTCCATTAGGCTTGCGAGATTTCTTATAAAGAAACAAGAGAAAATAAATCACTATGATAAAGATACTGTACATATCTTATTCACAAAGAAAAAGTTATTACATTTCTATAACGACAAGCCCAAGTACTAGATGACTAAAAAAACAAATAGGAATACAAACAGGAAGTAGGAGGGAATATCATCAACACTGAAAAACAATATACATGTCCGAAATAAGAAGACAACTTTCATCTTAAAATGTTTCACCTTTAACACGAAATGTCTTCTCTAAAATAAACTACTTATATAGATCGTAACTAACGTACCGTAAAAATAACACGTGCATTAATGAGGTCAACCCTAATAATAGTAATATTGTTTTGCGCACATTGCAATCATTATGTTTACCACAAGGCAACATGCTTAATGAAGTCAACCCTAATAATAGTAATATTGTTTTGCGCACATTGCAATCATTATGTTTACCACAAGGCAACATGCTTACGTTTATTTCACACCTACCAAAGGTGGTATTTTAAACGTAGATTGTAAATCATTATAACATAGCTTTAACGTCTTGTTAGTTCTTCAAATAAAGTATTGATGATGTTTGAGATAGTTAAAACGTGCGTCAGATATACAGTTCTAGACCAGGCCAAGACTGGTGAGAGGTGGGGGAATGGAACTTAAAAGCTTTACATTATGTTGAACCTGTTGCATGTCCCTCGAGCTTTTTGGCGAGATTTTTCAGGGTTATAAATTATTTACGAGGTTTGTAACATTGCTGTCGAAGGTATTTTGTAGGCACAATCTCTTATCATACTTCTGTATGATAACACATTATGTTAAAATAATAATAAGTTGACAGACAACGACTTTAAAGCATAAATGAAGTGTAATATTTAAATAAATAACACAAGGTAAGGCCCGGCATGGCCAGGTGGTTAAGGCGCTCGACTCGCAATCTCAGGGTCGCGGGTTCGAATCCCCGTCACACCCAACATGCTCGTCCTTTCAAAGAGGGAAGGCTGTCAAGTGAGTTGCATCCTTGACGTAAGAAACAGCTTTAGAAACGCTGGCAAAGCAAGATCTGCTATAGGCTCAACGGTAACACAAGGTAACTTCATACATGTCAAATTTTTTCTCTCTTCTTACACTTTTAACATCAGCTCACCGGTGCTGGATTTCTTGTTTGGTTCGGGTACCAAGTTCTTTAATATATAGCTAATGTTTCTTTTAACCTTAGCCACTGCTCATTTTCAGCCTTTCCGATAATTTAGTATTGTTCAATTTTTACATTTACATTCACGCATTCTTCTTTATGTTGGAAAATGTTTGAGAATTCTACGTACCTCAACACACTATGTTCTTTAACTCGATCACTAAGCCTCCTCACCGTCGACCTTATATACGTGTTATTACATACAGAACACCGATATCTGTAGACGACATGTGCCATCAAGTTCAGTATCATAAAAACACACTTGATGGGAACGACACGAGCGAATAATTTAGAGATACTGCAGTTAAATGGCAGTATCCACCAGCAGCGGCCGACGTCAGTTTGAGAAATTTTCGCTTCACTAAAATAGAACCTCATTTTATTTATTTTTTCTCAACTGACGATTCTAAGGAAACTGACCAATCAAAGTAACCTGGGTTATAGTAATCATATTTATTTTGGTTTGTTTGTTAGTTTTCGAATTTCGCGCAAAGCTACTCGAGAGTTATCTGCGCTAGCCGTCCCTAATTTAGCAGTGTAAGACAGAAGAGAGAAGGCAGCTAGTAAACACCACCCACTGTCAACTGTTGAGCTACTCTTTCATCAGAGAATAGTTGAATTGACCGTCACATTATAACGCCTCCACGGCTGAACGGACGCGCATGTTAGGCGACCGGGATTCGAACCCAAGACCCGCAGATTGCGAGTTGAACTCATTAACTACTAGTTCATCCCAGGCCTAAACAAGAATAAACAGTGATTATGTAGCGCTTAACAACAACAACGTAATAATAATAATAATAATATTGCACTTTAAAATAGTTTAAAAAGTCAATAAACAAAAAGGTTCAGAAAAGAAATTTGTACAAAAACATAATTAATATTGCACTAAGTTGTGTGTGTGTATATATACACATACATGATGTTATTGTTTTATATATAATTATTTTAGGTTTAGTTTGTTGAAAATATCAGTTACTACTACTATTGTGAAGGTCACAGCTCTTGTTATAAAAACACGACTTGTTTGGTAATTGGACAATCCATTCCTAGGACGTCCAATAGGAATGCATGAGGAAGGTCATGTTTTTTTATTTCTAGCCTTGGAACGTCTGGAAAGTTTCCAATTATTATCTGGTGCGTCCTGTGTGAATAAATAAGCCTTAAGAATAATGCTACAAAATATAGTCATGATTAAAGCTACACATATCACAACTCAAAATATATACCTAGTAACGAGCATAGCTAATTAAATACAATTTTCAAACGATATTCCTTATAAAATTATTATTATAAATGATTAACGGTATTTTTGGCCGTAAATCCAATAATATCTCACGAGATTCGACAAAATAGCGATGGCTTTTGTTTTTAGTATCTCTGTTAAGCAAATTCCATCATAAGCTAGGCAAATAACCTGAGTAGCTACAGCAGGGTGGTAGGGGGGATGGGGCTGTCGCCGCTTCACGTTCAATGTAATTTCATGGGTTGAATATTTTCTAAAGCCCCCACTGCCTATTACATTTAGTAATCGAATAACTAATTTAGAATGCTATATCTTAACTCTGAAGAATGGTAAGAGCCCATTTTGAAAGTATAAAGCAATTAGCACACATCAGCTAGTGAGGACTACGAAACCAGAAAGTTCATCATACTTGGTGTATCGCATCTCTGTGTGAATATCACAAAAGGTATTATTTTAAAATGAATGCTGAAAACAAATCTTAGCCATCACGTTCGCAGAGAAAGAATGCACCTACCTTCTTTCGGTTTTAGGAATATGTTTCGGACTCAATGCTGAGGCCCCTCAGTGACACAGCGGTATGTCTGCGGACTTACAACGCTAGAATCCGGGTTTCGATACCCGTGGTGAGTAGAGCACAGATAGCCCATTGTGTAGCCTTGTGATTAATTACAAACAGACAATGCTGAGTCTTGGTAAAGTCAATAACTTACTATTAACACAAATTCTTAACTTTCTCATTTATGAAAAATCAACAAATGGTGCTGAATCTTCTCGAAGTTGTAATTTAACGAAATATATAAATTCCCATTAGGTAACAGAACTGATCGTCTGTGAACTTTAGTTTCGAATAATGCCAATAAGTCTCTTTAATTTGAATTTATGTCAGATTTTTTCTAGGGGCGCTAGTATTATTTTCTATACTCACTGAAAAGATTTGACATCTGCAAATAATGTTTTCAAGAAGAAAAACGAGTTTGAAACTGATTCAACGAATAAACAGCGAGATTTCATATGGTGTTTTTAAAGTCGACTGATGATCCCAATATTGTGTGAAAGTAACAAAGGTAAATGTTTTGTCTAAATAAAGAAAACAATAAAACAGAGATTGGAAATGAGTATTTGGAGTCCTGTCACAAAGTTCTTGTCCACCCAGCACATTCCGTACAAATATGTGGTCGTTCGGGAACGATACTGCGCAGTAAAGTGCTTATGATTAACTACAAGTATAGAACGTTTCAAAGTTTACAAATCTTACCTAATTGTAGATGATAGGATATAATCATAAAAAAAGTTACGTTAGGCTGAATAGAACCAAATGATATAGCTGGTCGTTTATCAAAGTATACGTGTGTGTATATTAGTTAACAAAAGTATCGAAACAGTCGCGTCTATTAAACATTTTGGTTTCTACCACCAGGTGGCCTCGTATGGGGTTTGGACTTATCACGTTTGGTATCTTAGCATCATGGGTTTCCGTAGCAGCGATTACGCTTTGGAGTAATTTTCATCCATCAATAGTGCTGTTTGACAGGAAGTAAGATAGATTAATTTCATTTATATATTTAACTTATATATTCACCATAACGTTATCGCCTTAATTAACATAATTCAACTTACGATAAAATGTTTACTTTCGGTACAGAATTATTACAAAAAGTTATTAAATGTTCACTGTTCATTCTGTTAATATCATTTGCTAGTATAAGTTGATTGAGTCGATAAATCTAGATTTTCTGTGTAAGTTTCCACTTTCCGCTATCAATTTTTAATAATTCTTTTTTTTTTATTTTAATGATAAATCACTCTCGTTTTGCCCCCCCCCCAGTGGCACAGCGGTATGTCTGCGGACTTACAACGCTAGAATCCGGGTTTCGATACCTGTGGTGAGCAGAGCACAGATAGCCCATTGTGTAGCTTTGTGCTTAATTACTAACAAACAAACTAAACACCCTCGTTTTAAAGGTTCCTGAAATGGTTTCTTCCGTTTTTGCTCTTAATAGTCTTTGTAGCTGAATGTCCAAAGTCTTCACTATTTTTTTTTCAAAAATTAGAAGCTAAATATATTTACAGAATTGAACTATGTCCATAAAAGACAGTTCCAACTGTTTTGTATTTTATATACTGATTAATTGTTTGTTTTGCGGTTTGTTTAGCATGATGTAGATATACATTGAAAACTGCGTGTAATACATCTTAATTAACTCCTATCTGTGACACGATTGGTTCAACAAAACTCACAGCGGTCATAATTCTGAACTCCACGATTAATCTATACTTTTAAGGACTAATTTGTAATACTCTAAGACCCTTGGGTACTTTTCCATTTAATCCAAAACTTTGAAAACTTTCTCTCTCTTTCTAAATTTTTAACAATAAGGTAATAAAACACAATATTTCAGCCACTTAATTTCAAATTTCGAAGATCTATATAAAAGTATATCAATTACAATTTGAATTTAACCTGACTTACTTTTTTATCAAACATTTCCTAATACTTTCAATGAATTTCATATTGTTTAAATTTTCAGAACATTTATAGAAATGGGCGGCTACATTCACATGCAGCCTTACACTCACCTCGGTCCGTACTGTATTGGGCTGGCCACGGGATACTTGTTGCTGAAACACAGAAACATCAAGTTGAAACCAGTAAGTACATAGAAACTGTTTACTGTCGAAGTTTCCAAGAAAAAGTATTGAGGAACTATTATATTACATTGATATAAAAAAAACTTTTTCTACTATTTTAATGAGCGAGACACCTTTACTTTGAATCCAAGGAGAGTCTTAAAGCAATATCATGTAAACTGTTTATTTTTGAATTGCGCGCAAAGCTATTTCGCTGGTTATTCTGCACTAGCTGTCCCTAATTTTGGATCTTTAAGTTAAAGAGCAAGCAGTTAGTAAAACACCACCCGCTTCCAGCTATTGGGCTATTCTTTACCAACAAATAGTGCGATTGACCGTCCCATTATAACGCACCACGACTGAAAGGGCGAGCATGTATGGGGACGTGATTCAGACTCTTGACCCAAGTTAAGCGCTTTAACTATCAAGCCAGAATATAATGTAAAGGGTATTTTAAAGTGTTTTATAATTCATATGCAGTTTCAAAACTTTTTTAATGGTTTGGCCACGGCAAGTAATACACAAGATAAATTATTTCGGAATACAACATGCGATAAATGCATTTATAGTTTTTTGAAAGTGATTTTTTAAACCAGAGTATATTTATCTCAATATTAGTACCTTATTATATAACCATACTATATGTAGCTTATCAACGAACAGAAGCCCTAATTAGTACGTTATTATATAACCATGCTATCTGTAACTTACCATAGAACCGAAGCCCTAATTAGTACCTTATTATATAACCACAGTATCTGTAACATACCAAAGAACCGAAATTCTAATTAGTACCTTATTATAAAACCATAGTATCTGTAACTTACGAAATAAACAAAGTCCTACCACTCGACAGATTAAAAGTTTATAAACCCTGTTCTTCAAAACAACTTGTGATAGTTTTAATAAAGCAAGGATGATGTGGATAAATTTAATAAAGCAAGGATGATGATATAAAGATGAAATGGTTCTACTTTAGTAAATGATCTTAATTGCTAGAAAAAAAAGAATAATAATAAAACTAAAATAATAAGTATTTTTCAACTATAGTATTTGTTATTTCCTCCAAATAGAAGAAGTTTAAGAATTGTTAATGTGCCACACAACTTCATTCCAGTATGAGTAGCTTTAGAATTATTAATGTGCCACAAAGCAATGACATGTTAGACAATTTATTTATTCTTTCAGCTTGTTGTGGCTCTCGGCTGGATCATTACTACCGTTTCGTGTTCAGCTGTGATATTTGGAGCTTATGACTGGCATAACGGAATCAAACCAAATATTGTAGTTGGAATCATATACGCTTCGGTCCACAGAACTGTGTTTACTTTAGGGTTAGCTTGGATCACGTGCGCTTGTGTGTATGGATATGGAGGTAAGTTGACATTGTACATTTACAAAATGTACAATATATAATCACCAAAAGTCGAGAAATTTATTATTTGCTTCTCAATAAACGTATAAGTCATGAATGGGATATTAACAGATTATTTGTCTTGATTCAAATTATATGGTAATTGTATTGATGACTGTGTTCCATAGGTCCTGTAAATGCATTGTTGTCATGGGAACCATTCATCGTTCTTGGACGGCTGACCTACACTTCTTACCTGATACATCCATTGGTTATATATGTCAGGTCTGGTACAGTGAGGGAGGGTCAGTTCTTCAGCCATTTTGAACAGGTATTTGGCTTACACTGTATATAGGGTGACTCATGTGAATGTGTACCATTGTTTGTTAATGAAATTTGCTGATGTCAAGTGCAACAAGTGTTTTTCTAATTTTCTAATTTCAATTGGGTAAATGCATCATTACAAATATTTTTGTGTTTACCATCACAGAACCTCAAAAACGTTTTTATTTACAAATACTATTTGAGTACTTATACACATTAGAGACACAAATTTAAATACTTGTAATTATTCTAATAATAAAACGTTGAGTTTAAGCTGCGTTCACTTTCTTGTTACAAATTCCCCTTTTGGATTGTTTGTTTGTTTGTAATTAAGCACAAAGCTACACAATGGGCTATCTGTGCTCTGCCCAACACGGGTATCGAAGCCCGGATTCTAGCGTTGTAAGTCCGCAGACATACTGCTGTGCCACTAGGGGGCCCCCTTTTGGAACATAAGAACCTGCTCCATTTACCAACATGTTATAAATTTCCCTTTTTTGAACATAAGAACCTGCTCCATTTACCAGCATGTTATAAATTTCCTTTTTTGAACATAAGGACCTGCTCCATTTACCAACATGTTATAAATTTCTCTTTTTTGAACATAAGAACCTGCTCTATTTACCAACATGTTATAAATTTCTTTGAACATAAGAACCTGCTCCATTTACCAGTATGTTATAAATTTCCTTTTTGGAACATAAGGACCTGCTCCATTTACCAACATGTTATAAACTTCCCTTTTGGAACATAAGAACTTGCTCCATTTACCAACATGTTATAAACTTCCCCTTTTGGAACATAAGAATCTGCTCCATTTACCAACATGTTATAAACTTCCCTTTTGGAACATAAGAACTTGCTCCATTTACCAACATGTTATAAACTTCCCTTTTAGAACATAAGAACCTGCTCCATTTACCAACATGTTATAAACTTCCCTTTTGGAACATAAGAACTTGCTCCATTTACCAACATGTTATGAACTTCCCTTTTGGAACATAAGAACTTACTCCATTTACCAACATGTTATAAACTTCCCTTTTGGAACATAAGAACTTGCTCCAGTACAAAAACAGTACATTTGTTCTGTCAATTCCCAAGATTCCATAAAGCTATTCAAGAATAAAGCTAGTGTCAGTTTACCACTTTATTTTGAAATATAAAAAGTCGATGCAGATTAACGTAATGCGTTGAAAACAAAATAATCGAAAACAAATTGTCACATTGATTTTATTTTCTCTAGGTCTGCAGATTCCTTATCTATCTTGTATTGTCAATGTGTTTGGCCTCAGTTCTCCATCTGATATTTGAAGTTCCCTTTATGAAGCTAGAACGATTTCTTTTACCACAACCGACGCCTTCAAAGTCTTCCTGGAGCTCGAGGAAACAGAAAGAAGAAACTAACGGTCAAGTTGCACCAAACTGCATGTCAAAATATTCTTCAGACATGAAGGAAGACATTGTTACAATTTCAAGATTATGACGAACTCACAGAACAAAGAAAAATGTACATCTATATTACAAAAACAAACGTAATATGTAAACTGATGCTGTTAAGTAAAAACAAAAAGGCGTTCGAGAGTTCGGACACTTTTAAAAGTAATGTTTTTTGTAAATGGTAAGTGGAAATAGTCCTTGCAACACGTGGGCTAAAACTTGAGGTTAAGTATTTTTGAAATAAATTTTAATTCAGGGTATTTAAGATTAAAGTGTTCTGATATCATTTATCACAAAGGGAATTAAAATGATCCAATTTGCTGAATCAAAACTGGCCAGAGGATTCAGATTTACTTAGCAGAAAACCGATTTAATGATGTTTTTGGTATTTATTTTTCAAATTTATGTTCATCATTAGAAAGTAATTAACACTGGATACTTAAATCATAACAAAGGAAGGAAATTTAAACAAGATAAACTTGCTTTCTTTTCTTGCCATTTGTTTGGTTAGAAAAGCTTCTTTCGTGCGTTTTTTTTCCGGATGGTTCATCATGAATAACCTGAGCGTTATTTGTTACTATGTTTTGTAAGTTTGAAGGAAGACGAAGATGATCTTTGATTATTAAGTAGGATAAACATGAAGAAATGTAGAACTTCCATTATCAACAATCTTGACAGTTTATACTGTATAGAAGACGTTTTTATAATGGAAGTTCTACATTTCTTCATGTTTATCCTACTTAATAATCACAACAATCTTGACAGTTTATTCTGTATAGATGATGTTTTTATAATGAAAGTTCTACATTTCTTCATGTTTATCCTACTTAATAATCACAACAATCTTGACAGTTTATACTGTATAGAAGATGTTTTTATAATGGAAGTTCTACATTTCTTCATGTTTAGCCTACTTAATAATCACAACAATCTTGACAGTTTATACTGTATAGAAGACGTTTTTATAATGGAAGTTCTACATTTCTTCATGTTTATCCTACTTAATAATCACAACAATATTGACAGTTTATTCTGTATAGATGACGTTTTTATAATGGAAGTTCTACATTTCTTCATGTTTATCCTACTTAATAATCACAACAATCTTGGCAGTTTATTCTGTACAGAAGATGTTTTTATAATGGAAGTTCTACATTTCTTCATGTTTATCCTACTTAATAATCACAACAATATTGACAGTTTATTCTATATAGGTGTTCTAATTTTAGTTAACACGTAGATGCTTATAGGAAAGTAAAAATGAAAGTTTATTGGTCGATCTGAAAGTGAATCTAACCAGTAGAGTTAAACGTTAGGAATTTTTAAAGCAAGCTTGTTTTGTAGCTAAAGTAACATTAGGTATATATATATTGCATGCTACAATAAATAACTTCTTTTGGGCGTTTTTACACGTTAATTTTGGATTTACGAATTGTGTAATATAGTGCTAAATATGTATACGGTATCAATGAAACCTTAAAAAATTAAATTCAGTATCTACATTCTTGTTTTATCAATGACAACAGTTACCTATAAACTTTAATAGCTAAACTATTATATAATTTTTACAAGGTACCATAGTAGAAGGTGCTAAATCAAGGTAAGAGTGGGAAAATGGTCACTTCCAAAAGGTATCGGCTACCACATTCCATACAAAAGGTATCGACTACCACATTCCATACAAAAGGTATCGGCTACCACATTCCATACAAAAGGTATCGACTACCACATTCTATAGATACCTTTTGTATGGAGTGTGGTAGCCGATACCTTTTGTATGGAGTGTGGTAGCCGATACCTTTTGTATGGAATGTGGTAGTCGATACCTTTTGGGCTACCACACTCCATACAAAAGGTATCGGCTACCACACTCCATACAAAAGGTATCGGCTACCACATTCCATACAAAAGGTATCGACTACCACATTCCATACAAAAGGTATCGGCTACCACATTCCATACAAAAGGTATCGGCTACCACATTCCATACAAAAGGTATCGACTACCACATTCCATACAAAAGGTATCGGCTACCACATTCCATATACATTTTCCACCTGGGACAATGTTTAAATCTAACGCCAGTAACAGGATCCAAACAGGCAGATTTTACACAAAAATGATTCTCGCCCCTCAACATAGTGTTCCAAAATCTAACCATAAATATCTATATGATGAGAACCTCCAGAGTTAAGCATTGAAATCCCCACAACTCAGGAAAGGGCCATTGTCAGGGATAAGAGAAATAAGATTGTTAAAACTAACTATAGTACATTGATTATAAACACCGTGTAAAAGCTTTGGCTTCAAGAGGAGAGGCATCAATGGTGTGGATAAAAGAAAATTGGACTTTATACAAATCCTACAAAAAATTAGGAGAATAGTAAAGTAAAAATACATGAAAGTAAGTATAAAGAAAAGATTTATACAGAGAAAACAGAAAACAGGATAATGCGAAAACATATACATTATAAACATGTACCAAAAAAATCTTCAATCCCAAACTATTTTCATAATATTTTACTTTGAAATATAATTTATGCATACATATTCACATACATAAAATCAAGAGACAGCAAAGACAGGACTTCCCTTGAAAACTAGGTTTTAACAGTGACATCAGATTAAAACTCAAAAATTTGGTCACATTCTCCTTACTTATCTACACAACTTTCTAGTTGTCCCGTACTACCTGAATGTTCTCGCAAAAAAAAAAAAAGGAGGGAGGAGGGGTTCGAGCTCCCAAGATAGGTGGAAATACATACCCCGGATTAAAAGCGGAGGTAGCATCTGCAAGGCCTAGCAACTTATGGCATCACGTTTAGGCTTAGTGGGGATTGTTGGCAGTGTAGAATTCTACGTGTTATAAGAAGTAGCCTCCAAAAATGTCATAACCTTTTTTTATTATAACCGAAGGGCTTAAACGCCCATCCCAAAAATACATTAAAACGCAACAACTACGAAAACTGACGTAAGGACGAATAACACAAGGTCAAGAATGTCCTGAAGTTACACGGAGCAGGAGTAGAGTGTTATTTTAAATAACATAATCTCCAACCCGTATGTTACAATTAATGAAAAATAAACCATATTCATCAACAAGAAAGCTCAATTAGTGAAAGTTATGAACAGAACGCAGTCGAACGATAGGTATAACGAAGGAAAAACATTCTACCACTAACAACGTGATCTTGAATTTACTAAATGTCTCGAGCGTCGTTCTTTCTCACAAACGTTTTCATATGTTTTCAGCTTAAGGAATATGCTTTTTTACACGGGTTGAAAGCCATCTAGTGGTGGAGCTTACCTGTTCCTTTGCACATAAAGGACGCTCTTTTTTTTTACATATTTTACATATTAAATATTTTTTATTCTAATAATAGACTTAAACATACATTTAATTTCAACCTGTGGATAAACTCTACCTAATGTCAAAGCTAACTCCCTTGTGCTGTATTACGAATGTTGCCCTAATTGCGGTAAAAATATAACAAATTACTTCTTTAGCGCATCAGGTTTAAAGATTTAGGAGCTGTCAGTGCATTTAGCATTCCATCATCAATGAAAGCCCTATCAAACTCACTGCAGTTCAGAAAGTCCATCTAACTGCGTGTTCCATATAAAGCTGACCGTCGATATTCGCCCTTTAAAATTGTTTGTTTGTCTTTGAATTTCGTGCAAAACTACACGACCTTAATTTAACAGTGACAGACTAGAGGGAAAACAGCTAGCCAACACCACTCACCGCCAACTATTAGGCTATCTTTTACCAACGGATAGTGGAATTGAGCGTCAAATTATAACGCCCCCACAGCTGAAAGGGCGAGTGTGTTTGGTGACGGGGATTCGAATATGCGACCCGCAGATTGTGAATTGAGTACCCTAAACTACAGAGCATGCTAGGCTTTGTTACTTAAAAGTGACAGTGATTTTAAACTATTCATAATAACACCGATAGATGTCGTTCTTTAAAACCTATTGCACCTTATTAAAAACATTCCATTGGATTATGAATTTTTAATGTTGTCATCATGTTTAGCACACTAAGTTAAATATAGTACTTCGAAGTTCTGTGATTATACTCATTCATAATTTCTGGGTCTCTGGAGGGTATGTCAACAACGTTCTTCGTACTGGTACTAAAACTATAATATCGCCATCTATTAAGAGGTACTGAACTTCTGATAAAAAATAATTCCAGTATTAAAAATAAATATAGAAATGATAAAGAATAAAGATATAAGAGGCAAATAATACGGGAAACCATCCTTATGTTGTGTGAAAATTAATTGTAGCATAATAAAGTCATGTGCTGACAATTTCAACCGTGATTGACAGACATCCAATCAATTAGAAAGTGCAACACCAGTATAAAGTCTGTAAATATATAGGCAGTCATGTCTCGCAGGGCCGAAATACTACATAACAAATGTATAGAAACCCAAGTTTTGGATGGCCAAGGAGACTTCACGCAAAAAAATAGTGAAAGACTACATGTTTCAGTAGCAACTGTATGTAACAGTTTGAAGAGGGTACGTGAATCTGGCACTGTTATGATAGAAGTGGCTGAGGTAGAAAACTTAAAATATCCAAAAATAATATTAAGTACATCATTGTATGTTCATTAAGAGATAGACGAACATCGAACATAGACCTTGCCACCGATCTTTGCCATCAATGGTTTGTTAATAGTCGAGGAGATTTTGTTCGATGGCAGAGAGGAAAAAGCTAGATATAATCAATCCACAACATCTGCATCTCAGCCAACGATGTCAGCGAGTTATTCAAAATCCATGTCACTCTACCTGGTGCTAAGTCAAGCAGATTCTGATCGGTCATGTTTGCTGATAAATACGACTCATTCAATTCAATTTTATTAAACACTAGATAACACAGTAATGTTAAGTAATGATTTTTGAACTACAATAAAACTAGTAAATGAAAAGAAGAAACGAAAAAGTAAAAAAAAAGAGAGAATGTTTATACAAATCTCATTCCCTCAACCAGAAAAGAAGTATTAATAATTAATAAATAAACATATATATATGATAAGAGCATTTAATATATAAATATATATATAAATACATTAAAAAAGTTAGAGCATGTAATATAAATATATAAATACATTAAAAGGTTAGAGCATGTAATATATTTAATATCACTAAGTGACAGTTGTATCATAATATTTTTAGTTTTTAATTAACTACGAAAAATAAGTTGTTTTCGAAACAAACATTATAATTCATATTAGAGCGTACAGCAAAT